TTTTTTTTAAATAAATGTTTTTTTAATTACTTAAAATGAAAATATTATTTGATTTAAAACCCCCCACGAAAATTTGTTCCAGCTACGGCCCTGAATACATCTATATWATATACAATACCTACCTATACCGGTGTCCCAAATAACAGGGTACACTTTATCACTCATTACCATGTAAATATCTTTCGAATCTGTTTGCGGGACATTAAAACTAGACTAATGCATCATAAAATCGTAATCGAAATTATCAGTAAACAAGCCGATCCCGCGCAGCGTACCTACTCCGCCTACGAGGCAGTAAACATTTACAAAATACGGATGATCTAGGCTCTAATATCATGTTGGTGCTGTAAACGTTTCCATGTTTTTGGAAGTTCAGACTTCAGATCATAGGTAAACAAGCCCCCTATCAGCTGATCGAGTATCGCTTCCATATTATTCTGTGTTAATAATATCTATGTTATGCATACAAATACAGTATAATGCGCATGCTCACCATGATCGGTGCATTCCTGTATTTAAACGTTCCTTTTGAACCGACCAATAATAATTATATTGGTGCCACGGACTAAGATATACAGGACTGGACACRAGAAGAGTATTGTGGTTACGAAATGTAGTACAACAGGCGGTGTTTGGGGGGATGTTTTCCTTTTAGCATTAYTAGCGCCGTCTTAGTGGATACTTATGGAACTAGATCTATGGTGATAATGTCATATAGTTCCAAAAGTATCCACTAAGAAGGCGCTAGTAATGCTAAAAGGAAAATATCCCCCCGAACACCGCCTGTTGTACTACATTTCGTAACCACAATATTCTTCTCGTGTCCAGTCCTGTATATCTTAGTCCGTGATTGGTGCTGAAATCGTGTACCCTATATACGTCAAAATAAAAATAAACTCAAAACTACCTTTAGTAGCACCAGGATCACAGTGGCTGCCGGATGGCCCTACTCATTCTTTGATTTTGATGGATAAACCGCACACCCACGGTTGAATAGGGTTCTGTTACTTATATTCAGTATTTCGTGGAATAATAACGTTTAAAACACGTTCACTATGTTTCCTATATTAGTGATATGTTTTCTATAGCTGACTCTAAACCAAACTTGACGTAACTATGACAACCTTAATCGTAATTTTAAATCACTGCTCATTAGTATTTCAAAATGAGTAGGGGTGTGCTCTTGATTTATATAGTTTTCATATATTTATTTATTTATTTATTTATTATTAACAATACGGGCAAAGCACAATTTACATAATATGATAACAACAATAGCAATAGAGACAATAATTACTTATTTACTAATTAAAACATGAATAACATCATAAAAAATACAACAAATACTACATAAATGATGGATCACTATTTGCCATACGCATCATTCTAAGGATTAGATTTCTTTAGGATTTTAAAGATTAGGCTGGTTCTCAGAATAGTTGGTGTTGCATTTAGGAATAAAAAATGGATAGATTTGACGGACAGAAGATCAAGGAACTTTAAAGTTAATCATGGATAATAAAACAGGAGAATCAATATAGCCATCAATTAGTAGGCGGAAAAATTTCAGGTTAGCAACTTTTCTTCTATCAACTAAAAAAGATAAACCAAGTTTATTTAACTTTGGGTTATAATCATGAGGTGGATGTTCGATACTTAAAATAAATGCTGCATAATTTAGAAATTTACGTTGTACTCTTTCAATTTGATCCTTACCACAAGAAGTGGAAGGATCCCAAACAACAGCACCATATTCTAAAATAGACCTTACGTAAGCACAATATAAGGTTTTTATGGGAGAAGTTAACTTAAACTCATACCAAATTCTTTTAATAAAACCAAGCATTTTTAGGGCCTTGAAGCATACATTTTCCAAATGGGAATGGAAATTTAACTCTCGG